GACAAGAAACATGTTCAGGTTGTAATAGAGCTATCAGTGAGTAAACATCAAAAAAATTACCCCAAACAAATGTTGGTTGATTCAGTGCCTTTCCTAACTTATTTTGACACCAGTTTTATGAAAATCCATTCTCATTATATGTCTACTGTTCCAAAGCAGGAAGGCCAAGCACTGTTGATGCTAAAGATGGGACAACATGTATATAAGACTAAGGATACAAAGCAATGTAAGGCTAATTACCTACTTTGCTGGATTACAGTTCACAATGATTCTCTCCTGCCCCTGGGGTTGACAATGTCAGCTGTGTCTAGACCTACATAACGTACCAAATCCCCACTGGTGGACTAACATGACTCAAAGGGTAAAATTCCTCCTTCAAACAACATAACACAAACCCAGGAGAAACTCCAAAAGGTGTATCTGTGGGTTATAAGGAGTGCATACCAATTATGCCATATGTCATGACACGGTAAAAGCATATTGTGGATGGTGTTATGAAATATGACAGATGCATCTCTAGCATAGACACCCAGATATGCAAGCTGCTGTATGAAAAGCTCACAACTTGATTTGAAGGAGGTCACCTGTAGCAGAGACCACGTCACACTCACCTACCTTGGCACTCCAATACATGAGATGGTTTGATTTCAAAGAGCTCCTGCTAGAGGTAACAACCAAGTTCAAGATACTACTTTTTGAGCAGGTATTATGCGCAGGACTCTGAGCCTTTTTTATTACAAATAACCATGTTACATGAAACCACAAAGGTGACTCTTACCCGGTCGTGTTTCCACTTGCAATTTTGGATAGAGCAAGGAAAAAACTGTCAAAAATGGGATTTGAACCTTTAACTGTCAAGACGCTGCACCAACACTCTACCAACTGAGCTATCCAGTCCAATGCTAGCATTCTCCCACTAGATCATGGTAACTTTTTATACCCAATTAAAACAAAATATTGTTTCTGCCCTGTCCTAAATGCTATGACGACACATGCTACAGTTTTGCTTCATTGTGGTAATGCAAGTTACTCTTAACACCTTATCACAATATCTTTTTGTTCACTACTCAAAAATATTATCAATATGATTATGTTGCAGCCTTTATAAACTGTCCATCAAAAACAGCACGTTGTATGGCCGTCTGGACTCTCTTAAGTCCAGCTGGTAAAAGACATGCATGATTTTACCTTACTCTATTCAATATTGTTTGAAAAACGATGAACTTTGCCCCCAATGAGTTTGACACAACCTAGATACCTCTTCAAATGGTAACATTCAATAAAAAGTCATGACGTCAACGTTTTCTTTTACTATTTTTGAGCAGTGTAGCTTTTCCGTACAACCCCCAAGACACCTACCGAATTTGAGAGCTACATGTCATAGTTCATACAGGAAGAAAGAACATTAAATTGGGTCTTTTAAGGTGGTAACTGGAGCGAGAGTGGTGGACTTGATAAATGAAGTAAGACTTGCTGATGGAATCCTGAAGAAATCGTCTGAGTGTTGTCATGGAAGTACCAGCCAAAAGTTTCCAGATGAGTTTCATGACTGGTGACTATGAACAATG